GTACCAGTCACCAATGCCACGAACCTGGCCAAGGGATGAGGTGGAAATCATGACATGGCTGTTGGGGTCACAGTGGTGAAGAAGTTGTGAAGAGGGTGGATGGTGAATGTCTGCAAAATCAATGCTGCCAATGCTTAACACTCCAAATGTTTTTTTCCTCTCTGCAAACTCAGGCAGCTGCTGGAGGTGTGAGTCTCCAACGTGAAGAAGTCTAGTTTTTTTTGGTCTAGGCGGTCTAGGAGATTGAATGTTTGGCAAGGTATTGAAACACTTGAAACACACATGATGTCCTAGGAAACCAGTTTCTGGCAACTCTATACTTCTATTAGGTTACAGTTACCGGTTACAATTACTTGTACAATTAGAGACTCATCTCTATTCCAACTCTGCTGCACCTAAGAGAAGGCCTTCAAGTCAAATTGGGGCTCTGATAGGCTGGCCAGGGCTAGATCATGATCAAGTGAGTTTGGTCTATGAGTCTATGAGTCTATCAGTCTATGAGCCTACTATGGGAAGTCAGAGTCCAGTTCCAAACATGGACTGGCATGGTCTGTGAGTGATGGGCTTGGAAGATTACACTTGAATGCGGTCAACTGGCCTGCCTATCCAGCCCGAAGAACAATCTACGTGGAAGCTTCTTCCTGCATCCATGAGAGCAATGCCTTGCAAACGCTCACGTTGTTTCGCTCCAATGCTTTGCGATACCTTGGCGGTGGAGATGAGCAAACAAAATCAAAGCATTTGGTAATCCACAGTGTACGGACTGTACGGTAAAAGTTGAACTAGACGTGACAAGGACAAGAACGTAGAACTTTTGAACTTAGAACTAGACTAGACTAGGACTAGAACCATCACTCCTGTCTATCTATCACTATCAACTATCTGATCTCAATTGTCTCTCTTGCCTCTAGACTCTAGCCCCTGCAGTCTACATAGTCTCACTCACTGATAGTCTATCAATCTATATAGTCTATAAAGTCAGTCTAGTCTAGTCTAGTCTATAAGTCTATAATAAGAGAATATTAATATTAATATAATATAATTTAATTACTGATTACTAATAGTCGAGTCATAGTCCCATAGTCAGTCTATCACTACTAGTCTCAACTCTCAGTCTAGTCTGTCAGTCTGTCTTTCTATTGTCTGTCTGTCTATCAACTGTCGTCTGTCTATTGTCACATCTATTTCTAATTCTGCCTATTAAGTAGTCAGTAGTCGTCCAGTCTAGTCTAGTCTAGCCGTATATAGCCTAGCCGTATAGTTCCAGTCTAGCCATATAGTCTGAAGAGTCAGTCTAGTCAGTCTAGTAGTCATCTAGTCAGTAGTCTAGTCGAGTCAAGTTTTAGTCCAGTCCAGTCTACTGAACTTAAAGTCTTTTAGCAAAAAGTTAAAGTAAATAATGATTCCAATTGCCAGGGCCTTTGCCAATTGGCCCAATTGTCAGCCCATAAAATATCAATGTCAATGTCACAATGTCAATGTCACATCACATGACACAAAAGTAACGTAACGTAACACATGTCAAATGCCGTCTGACTGTAAACCGCCTACAAACAAACAATGGCATTTTTACACAACAAACTAACAGTCATACAGTCACAAGTGGTACAGTCCTGAACAGCTGTCATGAAGAAGGTGGAAGACGGGGTGTCTTGAGCAGAGGTGGTTACACATTGGCCACATGGGCCTTGACAGGACCTAGCTGAGGCTAAGCAGGACAATGTCTGAGTCTGAAAATTGTTCAATGAAAATCATGACAATGGACAATGACTCAATGACTCAATGACTTGACAATGATTGCAAGCAGGTGGCTCTCTCAACAAAGCCGACTTTTCCATGCGTCCCTTCCCGGCGAAGCGGTGCAAGCAAAGGTTCAGTCCATGAACCGTGCTCGAGTACGCCTTGATCCGGGCCAGCTTAGCACTATAGCCCTTGATCTTGGAGAGCTGGGAAGACAGCAAAATGTCGATGGATCCAGCAGAGCAAATGATGGATTCGAAGTTCTTTGCAATGCTGTTGAAGTCTTCCAGGTTTGCCGTGGTGGCGGTGTGGGTATGCTTGGAAAAGAAAATGCTCCTGATTTTGGCTCCATTGCGGCTTGCAACCAGAGCTTCGTATGCATCTGGTATGGCTGCCGCTGCCCTCTGCACCTCCTCTGTAGCCTTGGCCAAAAATGGCCCGGTGAGTGGCACCATGATGTTCTTGCTGATCCATGCCTTCACACGGGCAAGTTCGGCCTCAGGCAACTCCTTCATGTCCGTACACAGCTTCCCCACAGAGGCATCCAAAGTGCCTGCAGCACCCTTGATTGCTGGGACCAACTCTGACTCTGCGTCCTTGACAGCTGCTGTGCTCTGCAAAGCATCCATGCAAAGACATGCGTCACCCCGCAATTGGTTAAAGAGAACCTCACGGTGTATTGCTTGCATATCAATTGAGATTGAGCATTCTGCCTTCTTCAAGGTGTTCACCACGGTGTCCAAGGTGTCGTACATGGACTTTGCCTTGTTAGCAGACATCTCCTGAATGCATTTGTTCCAAAAGTCCTTTGGAACGTCCCCAGTCTCTGGCAGGAACTTTGGAGCAGGAGCTGCCTCCAAGAACCAACTCTGATCCGTCAGCAGGTTCTTCTCCAAATTCTGAGCGAGGCCTGTCAACAGGCCTGGCACGCAATTCGAGACCACTTGCTGGGAGGCATCCAAGAAGACATTTGCCTGGCGGACTCCGTGACACTGAGCCAGTTTGAGCTTGATGCTCTGGATGTCCAAGTTGCACATCATTCCGCAAAAGTCATGCAAAGCATTGGAGATGGCCTGAAGATCCTCGCAGTTTGTGCTCAAAGTGAACTGGATCATGTCTTGCTTCCATGTGGAGAATGATGTGGCCGTGTCACTCTCATTGGGATCCATGGTGGTTCTCTTCACCAAAGTAAAAAATGCAGTCGCAAGAGACACCTCAATGCATGACAGGAGAGTGCTATCAGCAACAGTAAAGTGATGTGTCATTGGGGGAATGCAAAGAGAAAAGTGAAAAGCCACATGGATTGGTAAGTCAGGTCAAAGCCACATGGAGAAGTGTGAAATGTCATCTGATGACTTGAAGTCAAAAGGCAAAAATTGCAAAACTGAAATGTGTCTCGTGACTATGTGACTATTAGATGTGACATGTGACTCATGTGACAGAATGTGGCATGCGGCATGACTTGATATGTGATTCACAGAGTCTGAGTCTCATGATGCATTATTTTCATGAATCATCACTGTCATCACCGATGTCATCACTCACTGCCACCTGCCAGAACTATCTCTAGAAGATGGAATCATGAGTCATGACTGAGTCATGTTTGATTCAATCTACAGTGAATGGCATGACATACTGACATACTGACACACTGACAACCATAAATCTAGAAGTTCTACTAGAAGTTTGGGAAAAATGAATCTGATACCGGATACCGGATACCTCAGAAACCAGGAAGAGCAGTCCAGTCTTCCAGTGAACAACCTTTGAAATGAAAGTGCCCCCAAAGCAAGGGTTGCTGCACGCAAGTCTACTGTGCCAGAACTGAAGGCCAACCAAGGCACCACTTGGGACAAATCCACAAGCATGCCAGGCACTGATCCTGGATTGGCGGTGGCCACAGTGAACATTTTGGTCACACTGGGCATGTTCCACACCGCCGCCACTGATTTCATCTCTGTGATGGCATTGCTTTCCAAGATGTCAGTGGCCATGGTGAAGATAGCTGAGTCACCATCAAGAGAGGCGAAGATCGGGTCAAGATCACCGCAACCTGCAAGCACCTTGGTGCTCAAGTCCAAGAATGCAGAGCAAATGCGGTTGAAGGAGGTCTTGAGTTCGTTATTCTCAAGGTCGGCCTCAGTGACCCCCAACTCGGCCACCCCCTGCATGATCTCGATGAAGGTAGCTGCATCTGCAGTGGCATTGTCATTGAGCATTTCACCAAAGACCCCAACCTTCAAAGCTTTCGAGAACCGGTCCTGGAGGGTAGTGTTTTTGCTTTTGAGCTTGGTCACAAGTGCTTGGCCATGCTCATCCTTCAGGATCACCCGAAGGACTGCCTCATCCTTTGAACTGTCCAGCTGCTGCAGCAAATTGTCAAATGTGTCCTCCTTGGCCTCCTGCAATGCCAAAGAGTTTGCGAGCGAAAGACCCAAAACCACATTCTCCGCCAAGCCCTCCAGCTCTTCTAGCTGTGGGATGAACTCCTTCAACAGGTGTTCAAAATTCTCCTCCCTCATCAAGTTTGAGAGGAAGAGTTCCATCATGACCAGCTGCTCGCTTCCACTGGAGCCCTTCATGTTTTGGATAGACTTGCCCCACTGTTTGTCGTGGACGTCCTTCAATGGATTCATGCAGTGGAAGGCTTCAAGCCCGAACTGGAGTGTAAATTAATTGGAATGTGCCATGGAATTGGCAGAAGGATTCCTAATGCCAACAACACCAAACATCAACATCCCAAACACCGTGATCTATACACGGAATGGACCGTGTTCATTTTCATAGCCCGTTATAGCCCCTATAGGGTTTGGAATGCATCATGCAGTATGCATTAAGAGTCAGACTGTCAGACTAGACAAATATTTGGCAAGTGGCTAAATATAATTACAGGTTACAGGTGCCTTCCAAACTCAAACGCCTCTCAAACGCCCGCCCAAAAGGCTCAAATGGCACTGTCCCAAGGCTCTACTGGCTCTACAGACTCAGACTCTATCTGCTCTACTTACTACTACTGTTATTTTGGATTGTGGCTTGAAGTGATCCACCCATAGGCTGTATAGCCTGTAACTGTATGTACTGTATACTGTGTATACTGTATTCTGTATACTGTATACTGTATACTGTATAGTCTAGTATGCAGCAGTCACAGTATATATAGTAGTACTGGTACTGTAGTACTAGTCAGTCTATAGTCTATAGTCTATAGTCTATAGTCCAGTCTATAGTCTTATAGTAGTCATAGAGTCAGAGTCATAGTCTAGTCTAGTCTAGTCAGTCAGTACCGTATAGTCCGTATAGCCTAGCCGTACCGTTTAGATAATTAGGCTAATAAAGGCTAAGGCTATGGCTATGGCCCATGGCGCTATGGCCATGATCTATGGCTGGTGGGCCTTTACCGTTAAATTCAAAGCTGTCAATTGGGACCTGGCTAGCCTAAAACCACCTTTCACCTTTTGGACCACTTTGAAGGGGAGAATTGGGGGTATCAATCATTTTCATTTGGCGGTCCTTGGCATGCTTCAGGTGCAGGAAGTGACCCTGGAGTGGGTCTGGGAACCTCTGCAAAGCTCCGTCCGGAAGGTTCTGAAAGGCTGTGAGAAAAGCATCCTCGTGTGCCTTTCTTGTAGATCCTGAAGGGGTGACATACAGCAAAGCCACCCTCAGTGCCTCTTTCACGGCTGTCAGATTGTTATTCAGTGTCTCCAACTCTGACACCGCGTCGAAAAGCCCTGCAGTGCGCCCTTCACCCAGCTTGCTGGTCACGCTGCGGATGATCTTTTGGACCACTGTGCCGTTCGGAAATGGGCTGGATGAATCTCGCATTGAAAGGAGCAACTCCTGATATCGCCCCTGCAACCTCTCAACCTCCTCAAAAAAGACCTCCTCCTTGCCTTTCTTGACTCGTGGGCCAGACGTCCTCCTTTTCTTGTTGGCAGGCTCCTTTGAGTCCTCGAGGCCCAGCTTGTTGTCCAAATCTTCCTCCAAAGGTTCTGGCTCAGCACCAAAGGCATCCGGAGCCTGAGGGATGTCCACCCCAGCTGAAGGTGTAGAGGCTGAGGCTCCTGATGCTCTTGGGTGTGAAAATGAATCTAAAACTCAAACTATCAAAGCCGACACTTTCGATGACTTCATGGTAGGCAGTGGGCACTTTGCCCTTAATGATGAATTCATCATGGTAGTTAGTAGTAGTAGCCGTGTAGTCATCTGAGATGTGGATGTTCTTGCCAGACCAGTTTGAGTCCAGCATATGCAGAATGTGTTTACTGTTTACTTACATGGACCTGGACAAAATGACAAAACTAAAAAACCAACAATCAGTATGAGTCTGAGACATGATGGATGAAAGTTTGATGAAAGACTCTGGATTGCTGGCACTGCTTTGATTGGACAGGGAAGTGGCAACCAGCAACCTCAGTTTTGGGAAACTTTCCTTTGGAGGAAACTTGGGACAGCTTGGGATCTACACCGACACCGCCTACAACACTGTTGGGCCAAACCCGTCTCTCAATACATTTTTCTGCACCTCACTTAAGTGCCGGTGATTTCCCCTTCTGATTTTGGAAATGGAAGGCAGCTTGAGTTTGTGACCAGGTAGTGTGAACTGTGCAGACTGTGAACATGTCTGGAGCCTGACCCTGCCCAAAGTGCAAAAGTCCTCCTGGATTGAGATGTGAGGCAACTGCTGGTGCAGATATGGTCTCCATCTTCTCTAGAGGCATCCCGGAAGAGTCACAGGCACTGAGCACCATCTTTGCTCGGCTTTGGAACCGGGTCTTTTGTTGGTCTTTCCCAATCCTCAGATACCACTGCCAACACTGCCAACACCCAAGGACGGACGGTGATCATTTGCCAGGTAAGTGTGTGATAAGTGATAAAGTAATCAGTGACACTGTCACTGACACATGTCAATGTCAATGTCACATTGTCAGTGTCACTGGCTGATATCTGTGTGTTGTTGCAATGGGTTATCACTTCACTACCATGCTGGGCCATGCCATGTGATATGGTGTCATGGTGCGAATACTAGGCAATTCTAGGCAGGTGGTTTACTCCTGTGCTGGAGGACAACTGACAGCTGTCTGGATCACTGGTAGAGTCGGTGCACCCTGAGCCTTGTGGGAGAAACAATTGGAAACCTCTAGGGTGCCCTGGCCCCCAGATCCTAAAAAGTATACAATGCCGCATGCTGCAATCAATGCCAACCAACAGTGATACCTTATAACCACCTTAACCGTAACCCATCTTGTGTTGAGGGGCTCTGTTTTTCTTATGCAGGTGAACAGTCAGGCTACCTCAATGGTTACAGGGCCATGGCCTGCTGATTTAAAACATGTGTGCCTGTGTTGCTGTGTTGCTGTTACTGTATTGTCAGTGTCAGTGTGTATGTGAACCTGAGATCTGCAATTGGATCTGTAGACTCGACTCTGTAGACTATGACTCTGACTCTGACTATGACTCTGACTCTCTATGATTTGACTTGGCTAAAGGCCAGCCTGGCTAAGCCTAGCCTAGTTAACACTGAGTGGGGGTTGGCGGGGTTGGGTCTCACGGTCTCACTTGTTGGCTAGACCGAGACTGGCCCCAAGCACAAATTCTTTGCCAAGGCACGTCACTGCCCCGGTATCCAACACGCGTTGGAAATTGCTGCAGTCCATCTCCTCAATGCGCATCTCCCATGCGTCCCGTACACCGTGGAACACCTGTCGCCAAGAAGGGCTGATGTGAACAGCCTACCCCTCAGGTGATAGGTGATAGGTGAGGTTGGGGATGGCTGAGAGGTGAAAGGTTTGCAATCCTCCTGGAGGAGTGTGACTTGAAGGTTTGGGCAAATAAAGCCAAGGCAAAGGGAGAATTCTCAGTGGTCCATGGTGTCAACCCTGATTTGGACACCCAACTGCCACCACAACTGCACAGAACCAGCTGCTAAATGACGTTGACGACGTGACATAGACCAAGTGACAAAGAAACATTAGGGTCAAAATCACGCATAACAAAGGTTGTCAAGTCAAGTCCAGTTGGACAGTCAATCAGTCAATCAGTCAGTCCAGTCAGTGAGTCATAGAGTCAGAGTCATAGTCGTCATGTCTCATGACACTCATGCCATAGCCATGGGCCATAGCCAGGGCCATAGCCATATCCACATTGGTCATAGACCGTAGACCGTAGACCATAGACTCCTACAGTAGATGACTGGGAGACTGAGAGTCGGTGTCATAATTCATCATCAATTGGCCGGTTGAATTGGCAAACACTGAACACCGAACACTGTTTGTTGTGCAATTATGGCACTGGCAATTGTAGTGAGTCTGAGTCATTGTCAGTCTGAGTCCTAGTCTAAGTCACAGTCAAAGTCATAATACTAGACTGGACTAGTTACTTGTCATAATAATAGCCAGAAGAGTCAGAGTATCATCACTCATCCCCATCCCGGCCCATCCCAAGTGCATAGTCCAGTCCAGTCAAGTCATAGTCACTCACACATAGTCACAGTCACAGTCATCATTCCTAGATAAAGGCTAAAGGCTGAAGTTGCTGGCTAAAGGCATGTGCCAGTATTGCTTCATGGCCCAAAGTGGAAAGAACCAGCCTGGCCTTGTACACTTGCAGTGACCTTCCGTCAGGACTTGTCCACTACTCCGGAGACAAGTTGTCGGCTTGAGGATCTCGGCCATAGAAGCTTTGATAGGCTTCTTTTGTGAACACTCGAATGGTGCCGATGCCAGAAATCAGCACTCGCAATTCCTTCGTGTGCATAACTGACCTTAGCTGGGCTGGGCTATCCTAAACAATGCTTGGG